ATTGAAAACAAAAACTAAAAAAAGCCCTGAGACCATTACTTACTATTTTGCCAAGTTAAGGATCTCTAGTTCATTTTTTTTTTGTTTTGTAAATGATTAAAAAAAAATTACAAAATGGGGAAAAATACTTATTAAAAAAACTCGAATGCCTAAAATTAAAAAAATTAAAATTTTTCGAGCATCTGAAAATGTTTTTGAAAACAATATTGAAAAAGTTTATCAATATGAATTGATTTTTTTATACATATAAAAACGTTTTAATAAAATAGCAGATCAGATATTCACGAAAACTAGATTTTTCAAATACGTGCCCACTAAATGAGTATTCTTTAATGTATTAAATTAAAAGTTTCCGTCAATTTTCAACACTTCATAATCTTTAAAGGTATTAGAATTATCACAATTATCGCAATTCTGAAATCGTGACTGAACAAAACAAAAACTAAAATAATTTTTAAAGGTTTTTTCATAGAAAATAACTATAAAAACTTTCTTTAATTTTGTATGATTCCTTTTTCTTGAAACCATGATTTTCAAAAAAATGTCTTTGTGTTTACGGAAAATCCCTTTGGAAGAAGTTGTTCTGTAAGAAATTGATATTTAAAAAAATATTGGTTAATTTTGGTAAATTCAATATTTTAACCTTTTGTTTCTTTCTATTTTATCTCGAATCGAACTTTTCAATAATTTCACAGTCAGAAAATGGATATTTCCATCTTCTGATCTTGAATTTCGATAAATGATTATATTGTAATACATATATTTTTACCTTCTCATAATTATAACTTTAATAAACAAGAGCTGCTGTAGAGTATACAGCGACAATTTCGATAAATCCTTAAACAAAAACAAAAAAATGCTTTGGAATGCGGACCTTTCAACAAAAAATGCTATATAAAATGTATGTCTAGTAAGTAAAAAATAAACCGCTATTGCATATATTAATAAAGGCATAAAATAACAGTAAATATACCAGCAAAGTGTACATGTAAAAGTGTTAGAACAAGGAAGGAATTAGTATATAAAACAATGAAAATATTGAACAAAAACACAATTAATTATAACATTACGAAATATCTACATAAATAATGTATTTAAAAATTAAGAATAGCTACAAAATACTATTTATATGGATTTCTGTAATTTTAGTAAAAGAATATAATTATAACAAAAATTAAGCAAAAGGAAAAAACTGCAAATTTGCAAATAAAAAAGATCCCACAGGGACAACCAAAAATAAAGCGTGTTTTCATATATCCCAGTCCAAAAGGCCTCAGGATGCTATCAAAATTACGCTTTCCTTGATGAAAATGAAACAGATTCATATACCGTTTTTTTTGTACAATTTATTATTTTATTTAAACTAGGAAATCTCTTAAGCTAAAGTAGACATAAAACTGCTAAATAGTTCTCAAACTGGCACACCCAAGCCGGCCATGTCGTGTTTCAATTCATCGAACAAATCTTGATAATCTTGATGTTCGCGCACCAATAACGCCACTGTGCCACGTTTGACACCCATAGCGGCACCTAAATCAGCACGACTTGGTGTGTAGGCGTACGGTATGCCCTTCTCTTCGCAAACAGCCGGCAAGTGGCACATAATATCAATGGGTGTAACGTCACCAGCGAAGATGCAAATGCTAAAAGTGGATGATTTGAATTATGTATTAGAAAAGTTTTCGTTATGCTATAAGGATTCCGAACGAAATCAGTGTTGAGCATCCCACTTACCCAGTTTCGCCTTTGCGTAGACGAGCCTGCACATCCTTAAGACCATTACGCAGGTAAGTTTTATGTTTCATCGCCTTCTTAATAAGTTTATAGCACTTTTTGGACATTTTCTTCGAGGCCATTGGCTGTGCAATGCTGTTCACATACTTTAGTTTGTCATCATAAGAGTCCTCTTCTTTGACTGTTACATTCGCTACAGATACAACGGAAGTGTCTTGCTCGATAGGTTCAGTCTTGATTTTTCCCATGATTTAAATTAAAATAAGACGAAACTACCAAAAATCCAAGAAACTTGTAAAAATGCTTCATGCAGCTGTAAACACGTGAAAAATGTGACACTTGACAGTTGTGGTGACAGGTTTGAACGCCGGTATTTTTAATAACAACGCCGTCAAAGTAAGTTGATCGGCAGGTTGCGCAGTCAATTTTGTTTTGTCGGATTTTGAAACTTGTCTAAATTTATTTCTTAAGCAGCGCTAACTTTTTCGAAACGCTTTTAAAAGGCTGAGCTGAGGCGTTTGCATGTTTTTCAATGTTCTTTTTAAAATGGAAACTTAAGCCCTTATATTTTGCACAAAAAAAGGACATAGACCCTTTTCGTACGGCAACACCTTTCCCTATTTTCTTCAAGAACCTTCGGTCTGGTTACTCTTTACAATCTTGTCAAAGCAGGGCGCAGGCGAACGACAAAAGTAGAATCACTCGCAGCCAGCAATAAGTGCAGAAAATATATAAAAGAATCGGGGAATTCAAATCGAAAATTCGCGAGTACCATTGTTATACCGAAAAAGTGTATTGCAATAAAACGTGCTATAAATATTAAACAAAACAAATTGTTTAATAATTGTACAATTAAAGTTTTAGCAAGCGCAAGAAAAAACTAACGACAGAACAAAATGAGTACTGGTGGCATGGGAGAGAAAAGAAAATTGTCGTAAGTAGAGAAATAGGAAGTAGCAGCAAAGGCAGCAGCGACAGCGACTGCAGCTGAGAAATTTTTATAAGAACGAACGTGTTTTGGAAAAAAAAAACGTATTTTTTGTCAAAAATAAGATATATATGTATATTATAATGGGCGGTGACGCCCTAGCAGCTGCAAACTTATGACAACGCGGTAGTAACGCAAAAATGAAGGAGAATTTCCAAAGAAATATGCCTTAAAATTGCAGCTGCCATTTGCTGCCGCAGCGACGCCAGCATAGAAGAAATGGCGAAAAAGAGCGGCAACCGAAATGCAATGCGACAGAGAGCAGAGCTGAAGTAGCGAACTTTCTTGAGATATCGACGTCGTCGTCGACGCTGACGTTAATTGATTTTCCATGCGAGTGTGCAGTTCAAAGCGTTTGTTGGCAGAAGCTCACTGCTGACAATCTGGCGCTGACTGACTAGCCAAGTGGGTCTTTAATGGGTGGTCGTTAATCGGGTGGGTAGGCGGTTCTTGTAACCAAAAAAAAATCTGAGCAAATTAGGGAAAAGTAACAAATTCCGTAGGATGCCTTTCCATAACAACAACAACAAAAACTGCGCTGGAATTACTATGCGAAGTTTGCGTTACTTTAGGAGGGCATTGTTGGAAAAGTGTACGAAATTGTATCGAATCAAAAAAAAGGTGAAAAAATGAGAATAGGCTAATATTATGGATAGCGGATGGCGTGGCACGAGCATATCATTGGGCACAACCTTGGCATTTGTAAAAATCGTAATGTAGGGTGAGAAATGCATGACGTGCCAAAGCAATTAATTTTTATAAGTATGTACTAATTACTATTTCCCTTTTATAGTTGATAACAGCTACTCGCTAACTAATAATTTTTTTCAGCAAACGTGAGACCTGAAGACGCAACTTTGTAAACTATTTTAAATTTATAATTTAGTTTTAAACTTTGTCACAAGTAATTACATATTTCGATTAATTTCAAATTGATTTAATGGACCGCATGAATAAAAACTAAGCAATTGGTTTTTCTTAAAATTTCAAACCTTTTACTTGATTCAATAAAAATAAATTTAAGTAGGTAAAGGGTCTTAAAGTTTCAGAAAAAGCTATTGCTTAATTTTTATTCATTCGCCCCAATGTAAGAGACAATGTTTTGCACCTATCTATATATCTGTGTTCGTATGGAAAAGTAGCTTATGTCGAAAGGTTGGCTTTAGTATAAATCGGCATTCGAAGCATACGATTGCGAATGACTCACTGGCGCTGAGCCGTTGAAGAACTTTTGGCAAATAAAAGTGCAAGAAATAGTTCCGGTACTAGCAAGTCAATATTCTTATTAAGTCTCATTAAAAAATTTTTTGTCGTTTAAAGAATAAAAGAATGGCGCATTATACTAAAGTCAGCCTTCCGATATAAGCTACTTTTCCATACGAACACATACATATATAATACGCGAAGGCATTTTTTGTACAGCATAAAGGATCTGCACTGTTCGTTCGATTTGCAAAAATGGGGTGTCAAATTAAAGCGCTTGGCCTGTAGATGTGCAAACTGGATTTATTTTTTCGAAAAGAGATGCCACCTGTTAAATAATTAAACTCAAGTTATTTACTAATCAATGCCTTCAGATCCGCAGCGTCCGTTCGATTTTCAAAAGTGAGGTACGTAATTAAAGGGCTTAGGATGTGGATATTCAAGAAGGCTTTACTTTTTCGAAAAAAGTTACCACCTGTTAAGAAATTAAGCTCAAATTGATTGAAAAGTTAAATTAATTATTAAATATGGGTATCAATCGAAATGGTTTTGAAAATGCTCTAAAACTTAACTACGTATAGGAGGGCTGCCGCATGTTAAAAAAATGTAATTCAATTTTAATTAAAGGAATTTGGTAAGTGAATAAGGTATCGCCATATGGGTGTCATACAAAAGAGGTTTAAGAAGGTAGTAGTTTGAAAATATTTTGAATAGGGATGCCACCTATTTGAGAAGTCTAATTGAATTATTTTTTATATGAAATATTAATGATGGATGTCAGATAAAAGAGCTTCAAGAAATACTTAGTTTTGACAATTTAGAATATTTTTGATGTGTTTCAAAGTTGCCCCAGTTTAAAGGACTAAACTAAAATTATTTAATAAGTTTAATGAATTAATAACCGATGGTTATTAATGGAAATGGCGTTAAAATCCTTTATTTAAGAACTATATTTAGGAGGACTGCCAAGTGGTTAAAAATAAAATTTCCACTTAATTCATCAATTACATGAAATATTTGTAACAATGTCAGACGAAAAATATTTAAAGAAATTTTAGTTCGAAAATAATTTTTAAGAGGGTTGCCGCCTATTTTGAAAGCGGTATTTCGTTTAATTATACATAAGTTACAGGAAATTTTAAAATATGGTTATCAAAAGAAATTGAAAAAATTAAGCTCAAATTATTTAATAAATTAAATGGTAAGCTCAAATTATTTAATAAGTTGGATGGATTAGAAAAGATTGATATCAATCGAAATGGGTTTGAAAATAATTTATTTCTAAACTGTATTTAGGCGAGTTGCTATGTGCTTAAAAAAAATTAAATTCAACTAAATTCATCAGTTAATTGAAATATGTGTAACAATACTCGGCGAAAGATTTTGGTTTGAAAATGCTTTGAAAGGGGTTGCCACCTGTTTGAAAAGTCGAATTTGTTTTACTTATACAAGAGATACATAAATGAAATATCGAAATATTAGTGTCAAACGAAAGAGTTTTAAGAAAACTATAGGCTGATAATATTTTGAATTAGAGTTGCCATATATTTTTTTTTAAGATCAGCACATCTTCACCGTTATTTCGAATTTCCAAAATGAGAGGTCAAATTAAAGAAATGGGATTCTACATAGATGTGTACAGGTTTTATTTTTTTAAGTTAGAACCTTTTTAGCGGTACAGGGAGATTTGAAATTTGATGAAATGCAAACCGACACCATGCGTGACCTCTCATCACTGACATATGGTTTACATTACACATTAGGTATATTTTTAGAGGTTTTTGAATAGGGTTTCTCCTGTTTAAAAAATTTAATTAAATGTCGGCGTTTTGACGCAATGCGGGTTCACTAGTTGTATTATTGTAAGTCTTTGTTACTACAAAAAATTGGCATAATACGGTATGTCATCATTAGCTCTAATTTTCTTACATATTTGTACTGATTTTATTACTACTTTTCTGTCGATATTCGTGTCTACGCTATCGGCTTTTTGGTATTTGTAAAAATACTAAACTACAAGTTTAGATTAGCGTCTAACGTATTCTTCAACCTTATACATAGGCGGAAAAAATTAGTTGATATCTATTCAGCCCATTTCAGCAAACTAAGGGGATGCGAATTTTTCGATGTCTTTTTTTTTGTATAACACGTGTTATTTAAATTTGCAATTTAGCGTAATAAATTTGATGGATTTTAGTTCCAGTGCTGTTCATATTGTTTTTGGATAACTGTCACTGATTTGTTCTTTCTTCAACTTTATCAGCGGGAAAAATTATTTGATATTTATTCAGCGCAATTCAGCAAAGTAAGTAACAGCGTATTTTTCGAAATTTCTGATTTTTGTTTAACTCACAAGTTAAATTTGAAATAAATTCGAATATTTTTGATATAGGATATGTTTCAGTCGCAATTCAGCGCATTTGTATTGCAGGTGTATTGCTTAAAAGTTTCATTCGTTCTATGTTTATTCAGCGCATTTTAATGTAATGGCTTCAACTCAGCTTGGAATTTATTTTCACACAGCATTTAAAGTGAACAAATTTCTATAGCAGATTAAATTTTATCGGTTTCGGTTAAGCGTACTGGGAAAAAAGTTGTTCTTAGAACTACTTTTATTTTTAAATTGGGTTTAAAGAAATTTCGTATTAATTCAGCACATTGCAAGTTGAGTATTTTCGACTCACTCCAGAAAAATACTATCTCTAACAAAATAAGATATACATACACAGGACATGCATGTAGCTAGACTATGAAAATCTTCAATTTATTGAAGAGAGAAATTAACACCAATTCAAGTCAACGACTTCAATCCAGAATGGATGAAAACATTTATACAGCACTAATTCAATTTGAAGGTTTCTACTTCCCTATAGAAGAAAACTTTGACGAGTCAATATATAAAATGTTTTAACGTTTATTCAGCGCAATAATTAAACGTGTTTTCGTAAATTTAAGCAAAATTAAGTAACTAGCGAGCCTTTTTGCATAGTTGAGCAATCATTTTATTTTGTAAAAATGATTGAATTGTCAGGAGTTTTTAGCATACTACATTCAGCTAATTCGGCGCGCTGAATTGTCACCAATCATTTTAATTTATAATTTATATATACATACATACATATCTGTAGCTTATGTCGGGAATTTGGTTTTAGTATAATCCATTTAT